AAAATTCAACTATAAAATCCATCAGAAGTTTCTGAAGAACATCAAAGTCCTCTCATTTAGGAAAGGATACAATCAGATTTTTCTGAAAAATAGAAGTTGGCAAAAAATAGAAACACTCTATTCTTCCATCTTATGCACTCAGGTGGATACCTCACAGGCTACTAAATGCCAAAATTATATGCAAAAAAAGAGGGTTTTTATACAATTAAGTTTCAGATAGCAATGCTATATTACATTTGCTGTATTACCGCTGTCTGACTAAAAGCACAAATAGTTGGGAAATAGTTAAGGCTGTAACTGTTTCAGCTAATGTTCTGACTAAAGACCTAATGCAACCAGGCTGCGTATCTAAAGCACTTTTATTACTTTTCCTGGTCAGCTGCACTTGAATAATGGTTTATAGGTTCTAACGCAAACATTACACAAAAGTATGCCTAAAGAGAAGTGCTGAAATACTTCCTATGATTTATTTTAGAATTTATTTACTATGACATTATGTTACCATAGTTTTTTAAAAATACAGCAGAATCTTACCCGTTTCCAAGTCGCTAATAGCTGTTTGTCAGACATCTGTTCTGGGTAATCAGCAATGGCAAAGACACAGCCCAGTAGGAAATACTCTTCTGGAACTAGAATAGTTTGGCACATGAAAGAACAAAAAATTAAACATTTCCGAGTCTGAAGAGTTCATCTCAGAACATCATTGCTACGCTAATCTTCCCTATTACCAGATTATAAGCTTCATTTAATTGTGAACTAAATCTTTCTTAGATCCAAAATTTCACAGGTGACAGCCACATCCAAAGGCACAGTTCAGCCCCAGCTTTCTTTTTGTTCTGGGTTGGTTTTTTTTTTCTTGGAGGAAGGGAGGCTGAAGGGGCAGCAAAACGAAAACATAACTTACGCTTTTATATTGATTAGCTATGAATAGTCAAACAAAGAAAAAGCTTTCAGTTCTACTAGGATGGACAGAATTCAAAGCAAGGTATGACAACTTTATCTCTGATACTGAATCCTTATTAATTTACTAGTATTTCCAAAATTTAAGCTGTCTTTCTAGTTGTTACGCTGTTAGGAAGCTTCCCCCTTGCCCTCTTCCAAAGGGGAAAAAATAAATTAAGAATTTATGGCATGCATAGACTAAGACTGTTCTCATAGTATAATTTTATGCTAGTGGCATAAAGTATACATCTGAAAAGAGAATGTTCTCCTGCTTTTTCAGATTATTGGATTATCCTTAATTAGACCTGAAATCTATTTGCCTAAAAATTAGTAGAACAGGTCCCAAGCCACAAATGGCATTTCTAAGTCTTACAACCCCATACTGTAAACACAGCACTATTTCCTGATATTCTAACCCACATTATGGCATGTCATTAGACACTTCTTTCCAGGATCAGAAGGCAATGATTACTAACTCTCTGCTGCTGGATCGTGTCCAAAAAGCGGCTGCTGTTGCAGTTGTTGCTGTTGCTGCTGGTGGTGTTGCGGCTGCTGGGCTGCAACTTGATGCTGTAGCGCTTGAGATGTCTGAGTTAAGTGTTGTGGTGCCTGATTCTGCATTTGCTGTTGCTGATGCTGTTGGTGTAATCGCTGCAAGTGCTGCTGCTGCAACTGCTGCTGCTGTATTTGCTGCTGATGGTGTTGCAGCTGTTGTTGTTGCAGATTCTGTTGCTGTAGCTGCTGGAGCTGTTGCTGCTGGAGCTGCTGCTGCTGCAACTGATGAAGTTGTTGTTGCAAAGCATGCTGCTGTTGGAACTGGAGCTGTTGCTGGGGACGGTGTAGCTGCTGTTGCGCATGTAACTGCTGCTGTGGAAACTGTAGCTGCTGCTGAGCGAACTGGTGCTGCTGATGAACTTGCTGTTGCTGTTGTGAAAACTGATGAGGCTGTTGCTGTTGGAAGGACTGCTGGGAAATCTGGGGTTGTTGCTGCTGCTGCTGCTGTTGTAGCTGCGAAGTGGTTGAGGTTGAAGGTGTAAAAGAGGATGGTGCTGCTGCTGCTGCTGCTGCTGCTGCTGCTGCTGTGCTTGATGTGACTGCTGTAATAAATGTGTCTCTGGTGTTAGTTTCACTTGACTAAACAGCACCACATTTGGATGTCCCTGTTGGCTATGATTTACTTGCTGTTCTAAATTTTTTGTAGGTGCTGAAAGTGATTGTAATATCTAGAAAACAAAGATTAATTTTGTGACCTTTTTGTTGTCATTCATACGGGGAAAATACAATTCTCAAAAGAAAACCTATGCTTAAATACATTGTGAGCTAAAAAAAATAATCTGGTAATAGCAAAATGAAGACAGGACTTAGACATAAAAGCATAAAGCTACACGTGGCTCCTAATATAAAGCAATGTACATTTTAGCATAATTTAATATTAAAACCCATCCCTGTATTATTGGTATCTCCAACAGCATTACGACTATTATTCCTATATTAATAATTACACTGATCAACTCAATCAACTGTAATACTCATTTTACAACCCTGTTAGCCCACTAAATTCGAAGTTTAGTTCCATAGTCTCTAACTCAAAAATTGCAAATAATGCCTGAACTAATCAGTGCTGTTTGAAACATGGGAACTTAATACAATCTTGTTTTCTTTTGAACCAACTCAGGACTATTTAGCTCTCACTTTTTAAACTGAATCAAAAATACAAAGAAAAACATTTATCTGCTGAGCACTAATAGTTTCTTGGGGAAACAACTAACCAACCAACCAACCAAAAAACAACTAACCAACTCATACTTAAGGATAGATTCAGGTTTATAAAGAGTGCTAAAGTAATCTGGAGTTCAATTTCATCTGTAGGTAAGTCACTGTTAAGAGAAAAATCATTTTCCACTAAGCACACACAAGTTACCAGGTGAGTTTTTAAAGTATCATAACTAGGCAAACTCCTAATAGATTAGGATGAGCTCTACATATTCATTAAAGTATTTTAATATAAATTACCTATTAAAAATTACAAGGAGCAATAGGGAACTCTAGACGTGCCACTGATGATAGTCTTTTAAACATGAAATCAGCTTTGGTGAATCCTATAAAGATTGTTTCCTTTATCCATGCTATTTCAACACATACTGTGTAAATTTCAGTGATGTGCTTGTGAGAGAGAAGAATCAAAGCACATCACTAAAACACAAAGCCAATTAACTGCATCCTTTCAATGAGATGTCCGTCAACTCTTCATCAGAGGTGGCTCAAGTGTTATTTACAATGCACTTCAAACATCTCAGGTTTCATCTAAGTAATTTTGATGTTATTGGTACAGCATACATTTATAACCATGATTACCAATGCATCACCCATCACTAATGTCTGGACAACACCACAGTATAAATATTCAATAACTAAAAATAACATATACAAACAGAATGTTTCCATGGCTGAGTATGAGAAGAGATCTTCATACTGCTCTCCACAAAGAGTCCCAAAAGTCAAAATTACAGAAGCTTCAGGACACATATTACAAGATAAAGGGATAAAACTTTCAAAAGTATCCTAGGGTTATATTAAGAAAGTAACTTAGTATCTGCAAAATGCCTTATTATTATAGATCTTGCCATTCAGCAGAAATCTGAGGTTCAAATTAAACATTAACTTTCCAAGATTATGCACAGAGACATGGAATACACCCAAGACTGGTCCCCAAGCAGGATACAAGGTACAATTTAACCTAGCCAGAGGGAAGTTATAAGGAAAAGTACAGAATTGGTATTCCTCCCTTTAAGAAGCAGATTCACAATTCTAAGACGCAAAGCCTTTCTCCACGTGCTGGAACTAGGATGAAGACCTACACAGCAGCCTGATACGGTACTTGAGAAGGCTCCTTGAAACACTATAGACAAGTCCCTAGTCTAACAGAGTTCTGGAGATCAAAAGTCTAGACAAAGCATGATACTATCAACTGCCTTGTAACTCTATAAATATTACTTACATAAAAATACTTCCACAGGAACATTACTAAAGAGTACAGTGACCGGGGCTGTAGAAGATGTGGTGTTCAGCCAACTTAGCAGCACTGCCAACTAACCACTGGTGGTTCTTACTGCAGTTCTTACCCAGAAGTCTCAGTCCTTAAACAATTCAAGGCACTGAGAAGAGGAATCTGAGACTCAGTTTTAAAATCAAGCCTGTATTTCCATTTAATATTCAGAAGTCATACAGGCAACAAAGAACCAACTTTTCTGAGTGGCTCCACTTTTTAAGTACTTGCTGTAAGCTTCTGTATTATTCAGGCACCTTTGAAAGTTTTACCATCAGATGAACATCCAAATAAATGCAGCAGTGCAATTGTTTTAGAAAAGGATATGTCTGACATTTACCAGCACCTACTTTTCTCATGTTCCCTTCCCATGAACATCTCAGAATTTCAATGATGCAAGCTATTTCAGTGCATGCTCACTCACTTTTTATTTTCTTCTAAAAATAAATTCAACACAAAAGCTGCAATTATTTCAACTGTACGAGTGGCATAAGAACTTGTAAATTAGGATTTCTGCATCATAATCCTGACTATACTATATAACAACTTAATGATTCCCATCAGAACACCACAGTATAGAACTGAACCTACTGTGAGAACAATCAATTTTACAGTTTTATGTGTTTATAGCACAAATAATTTCTTGCAGTGAATGAAAAGCTTGAAGGGCATGAAATCAGCTTTCCTGAACTAGCCAAATAATTCTAAATTAATGAGTATTTTTTTTGCTCTTACCAAGACATCAATACTGAAACTCTAAACCACACTACAGTTAAACACAGCTTTACTCTTCCCAACATTTTTTCCAAATGTGTTCTTACTTGTGTGGACCTGTTAGGAATTAAGTTACTTGTTATGGGGAGGTTACGGATTTGGCCGTAACTTCTAAGTAATAGGGGGAACTTTTAAGCCTTTGTACACTTATAGAACAATAAAAGGCAACTGAAGTTCTTTGATACGATAGTTCCTAAGAAAAAGTCCAATATCTTATAAATTAAAAATCCAACACTTACATGTGCTACATTTGATGGTCTATTAATCTGCTGAATATCAGCACTATTAGTAATATTCCTTAATGTCCGCACGGCTGGACTCCACGTTGCCATCATTTCCTGTCGATCAGAACTTTGGGCACCTTGTACCGAAGGCATTAGATTGCCTCTCATGTCTGGAGGCAAAATATTACCTGGCACTGGCGGGACATTGGCACATAAATTAATTAACCCAGAGTCTTTCCCTTGAGGCAACCTACGCTTTGCTGCAGATGCCTGTGGGACTTCAGCTGGTGTCCAATTCAAATTCCTTTCCTGCTTTTCTGGAGAGGAATCTGAAGAATCATCAAACATCAGTTCCCCTTTTGCCTTGTCAGCAGTAGTAGATTTTGGTGAAAAAACTTGATCACCCAAAGGTGATCCTTCTCGAGAAGATGCTGGGCTTGACAATTTTTCATCAGTACTAGCTTCATTTTGAGAATCTTGTTCTTCGTTTTCTGCTTCTTCCTCTTCTTCCTCCTCCTCCTCCTCTTCTTCCTCGTATATAACTAAACGAGGATGATAAGGAGTCTCCTCTTTTTTAGTCTTATCAGCTATAGAATCCAGTACCCAGTCTGGTGTCACAATTTTAATGCTTTCCCGTTTATAAGCACATTCGTATTTTTCCTGGGGGAGGGAAAAAATAATAAATATTTTATTTAAAGACAAAAATACCAAATAACTTTTTTGAGGGCAGGGATAGAGCCTGAAGAGGCAATTGTAAGAGGCTGTCCAACAACAGAAAGTGATCTGAGAACCAACAAGACAAACTACATTGCTGCATGTAACCACACAGACCCAAGAGATTAAAACAAAAACTTCCTTATTTACAATACAAAGGACCCAGAAAACACAACTGCAGGTTAAGTCTTCACTTGCAAAAACACCACTACCCAAATTGTTCTCGAACCCAGTCACCAAAGGATTTGAAAATCATTTCATTTGGTTCTGAAAACACCTTCAGAACTCCAGCAGCTAAGAACATCACAGTCAACACCAAGATGCAGCCAAGTTTTAGATGGACATTAAGGTGAGTCTAAATACAGTTTATACTTACATTTTCTCCACTAAAAAACGTTCTTAAGGGGGAGGGTGGAGGGTACTGATGATCGCTGCTTGTATCCTTCCGTTTTGCTTCATAGTGCAAATGTGAATGAGGAACTGGTCCCTGACTGCAGTATACATGAGGTTTGCGATA